AGCTGAAGTAGCAGGGTGTTAAACGGCATGCTCCGCAGAGATGCCCAGAAGTTCATGGGCTGCAGAGTCGAAACTCTCTCTCTCTGCTGCTGTCCCAGAGTAGGACCGAAGCAAACTGGCACAGTAATGCCCATACATGCAGCCTCACCCAGCTTGCCCTGCGCCTCCTCAGACTTCCAGTTCCCAGGCCAGCACCAAAAAACCAGGGCATCCTCCAGCTCTCTCTGGATTTAAAAAGCTCTGGAGATCTTAATGGAGAAGGGAGCCAAAAATCTCACCTCTGCAGCAAGGTGCTCAAAAGCTTAAGTTTGGGTTTCCTGCTGCATCCACAACCGCCAGCAGCTCTGCTGGGCATCCACAACCTCCAGGGCTTCCCTACTCTTGCATCAGCTGGCTTTTTGGGAAGCCCAAACTGCTCCAAAATGATCCCACACCTGTCATTTTCCCAGCTGCTCACCACTAAATAGCTGCAGTCAGTTTGACCAGAAACTCTGTATTTCCCACATACTACATTGCATCACCTCATATTCCTTCCTTTCCCCCCGGTACTAACCCATCATAAAATAATTATCAGACACTGCAATGTCACTGCAAAATAAATAAATATTGCCTGTGCATGCTGCATTGCTCGGCTGGCTTGCCCAGGCTGCCAGCTAAGGCTAAGCCTGAAAAATAGCTCCCACCTGTACCCACCCTGGCAGCAGCCTTGATTAGCAAGAAGCCTAAACCTGATATAGTGGGACATGCTGCCAGTAAAAATGAAGTATGCTGGCGTGGGTGAGCGTGCAGGGACCCTGAAGCAAATCAGCAGCCAGCACTGCCAGTCACAGCAGAGGTGCTATGGTGGCTGGTTTCCCATCGTTTGGCCTGATCCTGTCAATGTCTCTTGCAACTATCATGCAAACTTAAAAAAAAAAATACATGATAGTAAAAATTCCAGTCAATATATCCTTTTAATTTGCACCAGATTATAGTTTTTTTAATGCAATTACTGTAATTTCATTAAATGACATAATTACCATTAATGCAGAGAAAACTGTCAATAGAAGGTGCAATTATGTTGTATAAAATCACAAGCACAATGTGCAATGATGCATAATTCTTCATGAAAATCATTCTGTGACTAAAATTAACTTTTAAAATATTTTTAAAATACATATTCTACAGTAAGAATGATTCAGTTATTATGGACTTAACTTCCACAACCAGCTAAGAAGGGGGAGCAGAACAGGCAGGGAGTGTTTGCACACGGAAGGAAGGACCAGAAATTTGGTTTAGAAGCACATCAGAAAGGTAAGAACGCAAGCTTTCGTACACACGAGTAGAAAAAACAAACAGTTCATGATTACACACAGATATACAGGATGACTTGTGAGCAGACATTCCCCTAGGCACATTTCACCACACAGCTCCAGCTTTTTGGACACCAGTAACGCAGCATGGAAGTGATGTCTCGGTGGAGAAAGGTGTGACAAGAGGAAGGAGTGATGAGGACCAGGATAAACCACAACATTCACCCTGGAAACTAGGAGCAAACTGTCCAGGGTAAGATATGAAAAGTGTGAGGCACACGAGCAGAACCATACAAAGATGTACGAGACTATGTCTCCAGGTATCTTCAAAATAAATACCTTTTTGAGAGGCATGTTTCAGTCAAAATGCAACATATTGGGTTGAATACAGAAATAACTATATCAGAATTAAATACAGCAGAATGCTTAAAGATCTTTTTAGTGTTAAAAATCTACAAATCCCCCCAAATCCTGAACTGATGGAGGAGAATGCACGGACAAAGTCTTTTAAGATCTCTCCCAGTATATAAACACTAGTACCTCTACAGGCAACGTTTTCCACATGTGGAAATATTCCTGATATTCCCAGGCACGCACAGACATGTGTGTCCATTTTCCGTACCAGACCAAAGATGAAATGTACACTATAAAGAATCCAGAAAACCATGCGACACTTTCCTCCAACCCAGGATGTTTTTTCTAGAATTTGTGTAATACAATTTGCACTAAACCCTTTGTGCACAGAGCAAGCATCGTCAAAACTGAAATTTTGCTTTTCACCTCACCACCCTTTCAACCCTCTTTCCAAAGCCTCTAAACCTGAAAAAATTCTGATTTTACTTGTGCCTGAGCAGGCCCTATCAGTGTCCTCTGTGTCTATACAATTAAGTCAGGATAAAAGTCATCAGATTAAAACCTCAGAACGCTGATGAGAACTATGATTTCATTTTTATAGCACAAAAAAATAATCCATTTAGCTTGGGATGATGTATCTTATAAATGAAAAAACACAGTGATAGCATTTTTCTCATTCACTTGTGTCCTGCCTGTGCTGTCCTCTGCTTCCTCCCTCTTTAGCTGTCCCTCTTTTTCTCTCGTGCACCCAGAAGTAGCAGCCAACGTCCTTGTCACACCCACGAGCTCTCAGCACTAATGGGGAGGGAGGTGCACCATAAGGAAGACTAAACCAGGAAGGTGTAAGATACCATGTCCTCGCCTATTGCCATGCTCTGATGATCTCACAAATATTTTCTTCTGTCTGGCAGTGGCTTTTGTCTGACTGCTTAAGAAAAAGTTCACACGATTCCTCCTCCTCTCTCACTTTATTCCCCCTTGGAGAAAGGGGCATGGGCTACCTGTACAGGGAAACCAAGGGCAATACAACAGGGGAGGGGAGTCCTAAGGACCACTCAATCTCTGGGATTATCACAGAGAAGAGATGTAGAATATGTAGAATATGGTCACAATGGTTATTGAGACCACTCAATCTCTGGGATTATCACAGCGAAGAGATGTGGAATATGTAGAATATGGTCACAATGGTTATTGCCAGTGCCCCAAGGGACAACATCTATAACTAAAAAAAAAAAAAAAAAAAAAAGGCATTTTATGGCTTGAGAGCCTGGCTGGCACTTAAGCTACCAGCCATGGTTTCATGAACTCAGCTGAAAAATGGGTGAGAAGCTTTGTGCATCTTCCTCACCTCTGGTGTTCAGTGTCAGCCACCAGCGGGTCATCAATAAGGACAAATTTGGTGCATGCTAAGTTGATACAAAGCCTGGTACTGAAGGTATATAGATGTTGCTTGCTGGGGAATGATGATTTTTAAAATGCGATATTTCGTACACCTCTTATTTAACCTGTTAAGAGTGGATTTTACATACAGATTGGGGCAGGGAGGGATGCTGCACCTACCACGCTGTGTATTTCCAATACTATGAACACACATGCTGGAAGCAGTGAGATACACACATAATTAGCACTTCATTTTAAGTGCCAGAGCTGAATTATTTCCATGTGGAAAAAATCAGATAGACTTAAATTTTGGTTTGTAGAAGAAACCTGCAGTAATTAGTCATGTATGTTTATTCCTTTCCCACTACCCACTTTCTTCCAGGAAACCAGGAATATTATGGTATGTAGTAAAGATGTTAATAGTCTGTAACTTGTAACTTGCTTATCCCTCCTTTTCACTAGGAATCAATTCCTTTTTCTGTAGACCCACTTTCCCACCTTCTTATTTTTCTGCCTCTCCACCACTTCCAATCTTTTCCTAAGTCTAGAAAACCAAAGTTCACAGCTGTAACTTCACAAGTATTTTGGTGCAAAATCTTTTAAGAGCAAAACTCTTAAATACTTGCTTAGATTCTTGCTGTAGGGGCATGGTAGGACGTTGGCACTGGGATTTTACATATGTCCCTCCCTTTCCAGCCCCAATGTGCATGACTATCCCATTCCCTTGTGCACAACTGTAGAGCTCCCTTGCAGAGCCATACCTGCTTCAGCGAGGTACCAGCTGCTCTGCTCTCCATCAGCTTTCAAACCATCAACTTCAGATATGATCTAAACAAGCTTCGAGCAACAGGAAGAAAAAAAAAATACAGAGAAAAGATCCTCTGATCCTACCTACTCTTACGTGCCAGTCATCCCTCTAACCTGCAAGGTGAAAGACAGCTCCTCTGTCTTTGCTCTGGAGCTTCTCTCAATCAGGGATCACTTTACTCATCTGTAGCAAATACACTGAAGTGTTTCCCTCAAAAGAACCTTTAAGTGACTTGTAATTCACAGACTGTAAAAGGGGGAGAAAGTCTTGGAGATGTGGCTGTTATATTGCTTAATAAACACTCAACTCAAAAACTAACTTTCTGCATGCTGGACCACCACAAAACGATTTTGCAACCTTTAATGGCATGCCAAACATTTCAAGCATGAAGAAAATGTCACACCGCAGAATAAAAAGCAGGCAAAACCTTTTTGTGCTTGAGTGGATTATGAGAAAACTGCAAATGGGGTGTTTACTACCAAGAGGAAAAAGGAGAGAGCTGAAAAGTGGGACAAGCAGGTAGAGAACTTGGCTTTTTGTTTGCAGAGCACAGCAGAACTCACTGACCAGCCTTTTCCTTTTCTCTCTTTTTTTTTTTTTTTTAAAGCAATGTATTATTAAAGTCAAGAGAATAGCTTTGCAACAGGTGATGTCAGCAGAGCTGCTTACGTGCCACAGGGACACAGGCATAGCAGGCATTGACAACCTGCAGCCAAGTGCCGCCTCATCGCGATGGAAGATGGAAGGGACAAGATTCATCAGCTCACTGCATCGCCCAAATCAAAGGCATCTCCCTGCATCACCTTCTTGGCCACCACCTCCCTCCTTTCCCACCACCCAGTTACCATGGTTTTAAAAACATCCAGAGTCATCACACGGTCACAGCCTTTACAAGGTGACGTCACCCACCATGGACATGGGCATCCTTGGTGCAGGTTGGTGAACGCCTCTGCGCTGAGCAAAGAAAGGCTGTTCCTGAAGGTCTAATTTCCATGCCCTTCAGGCCCACTGTGGCTCAAGCTGCCTTGAAACCTGCAGCCACGTAGCTACCAAATACCAATAACAGCAAACAATAAAGGGCTTTACACCAGTGGAGGGGAAGGCACGGTAACACGTGAGATCTTATAACACTTAGCCTCATGCAATAAAAGAAGAAATCCACTTACCACAAATGCTATCATGCTCTTTACCGTGGACTCCCAGAGAAAGCAGCTCCGAAGGAATTGTATTGTATTCCATATTGCCATGGTGATTTTTTTCACGCGATCAACATTTCTTGATAAGATCTGATAAATATTGAGTGGGAGGAGGGGAGGAGAAGAGGAGTTTAATCAAACACTCTAATATCCTACTATTCCTTCAGAAACAGGGATAATTTCAGCTACGAATGTGTGCCAGGGCACATATTACAAATAAACCTTCTATTTCAGAGACACTCTCCAGCTCCTGTCTGCTTTCTGATTACACCCAAACCTTCCAGATTTTCCCCATCCCTTAGAAAAAAAAAGAAAAAAAAAAAAGCATGTCTTGATGCCAAAACTAAATAAAACAGTAACACAAACCTACCTTCGTTCCCCTTCAATTCTCAAAATATAGCAATGTCTCAGGAAAAAGGGCCAGAACATAATCCAAACACTGAACCTCTTCTCTGCATGTTTTGGATTAGTCCGTAGAAATAAATAGCAAATTTGAGCCTTATTATAGGGCACCTTTACGTAAAAAAAGGATAACGGCCATTGTTCTAAAATCCTACAGACTTTTAAAATGACTAATTTAGACCTGGTTTCTTCCTTCCCAAAGGAGGGAATAAGGCTCTCGTTGAGCTTTAGGTGCTGCGCAACATTCACAGCTATCATTTTCCCCACTCTGAAGCACAAAGAACTACTGATGCAAACTAGATCAGAAAGCAATTTTGTGTTCACGCAAACAAACCCTTTAATATATACAGAAATACACAGAATTTACACGTGTTCAGCGTTTTATGCATAAATAGATTTTGTTCTTACAACCATGCTACAGCAACTCAAATCTTTCCAAAACAAATGCGAGATCTTAGCCCAGAGACTAGCTTCACCTTTTTAGAAAATTTGCGGTTCTCTTCGGTGAAGCGCTTTTCTCGGGGCCTGAATGTTCTAATACTTGCTTTTACCTAAAAAAAAAAAGGAAGAAAAAAATTGACAAACGTCATGTAGTTTTAAGTGCATTATTTCAACTTTGTATCACCAGCATTGCTTAGGCATTTCAGGATCTTTCGCTCTTTTCAGCCTCTACACGACTTAGGAGGAGCTGCTAGGAAAAATGCAGATGAGTTAAATTGGGCAAGGCTCAGCTCACTTCAGCGAGAGCAGAGCTGCAGTGCAGCCCATGATGGCCTTAATAAATAGGATTTAACTTGGTAAAAGGCTGTAGGGCATAAACAATTGAGACTGACTCAGCCACCTAAAAACTAAGTGCACCGTGTCCGTGCCTCATTAATTTTCCTGTCAACACCCTGTGAATAGAACATGGTGGGTCAGCTTTTTGGGGAGGAAGTAAGTGTTAAAAGTAATATATAACAATCTAAGCATTAAAATCTGTTTTGGCTGTTGCAAATGAAGACATGGTGTACAGTACTTGGCATCTCCTTCCTAAGGTGCTTGTGGTCACTTGTCAGCCCAAAAATATCCCTGCGTTGTCCCATCCGCCACCACAGAGCTCTGATGTCCCAATACTTCTTCACCTACAGCACGAAACACCCCTCCACCACCTGATGCAACCAGGTCCGGACTATTCCTGCTTGGCTGCTGGTTTTTAAAGGATCACCCTTTCACCTTCGTCCTTGCAGATTCAGACATTTCTCACACCAGCAAAGAGAAAGTATTTTGACTTACAGGATTAAATAGGACATCCAGCTCCAAGTAAATTACTCCTTTTGAAGCACGTTCCAAGTCTTTATTCTTCAGTGTGTAACAACTTTGTTTACCGTTTCTAATCTATAGTTTGAGGGGTAGAAAAAGCATCAATATTTTCCCAGCTGTAATTCACAATATAAGTTAAAGACGCTACAAACAAATAAATAAATAAATTGCAAGCACAAAAAAAACCCTCCCCAAACTGCCTGAAATACAAAATCACTGTTGGATTAGAGACCTATAAAATTGCAGATTAAATCTCTTACAGTCCAACTTTAATTTACAGACCTTGTACTTTATAGTAGAGCAGCGCACGCAATAACCAGCCTGAAAATTCTGCCCTGGAAGCCAGTGAGTTGATGGGAAGTAATCAGCCTCTGTTATTACAGGTTTAAAATGGGATTTTTCTTCCAAAGTTCAGGAAAAGAGCCACAAACAACAACTTACCTACCTATTGCACACTCCAGTACATAAACCCACTTCTTAACGCTTAGTTTATTGCAAGATTGTCAAATTATTACCCAGGAAACAAACACAATCCAAAGAAATTAATCAGCTTAAGTGGAGCGAATGCTAATGTAACAAATGTTCAAAATTAACTAATTCATGTAAAAGACTTCCCCCACCCCACCCTTGCATTTCAATACCATTTCTATGCTTTAATCCACCGGTTGGCCCTATTACATTAAACATCTATTTAAAAAAAAACAAAACAAACCACAAACACAAACCAACAAAACACCCTCCCCTCACCATTTTGTAAACTATTTGGCTCAAATCAAAAACATTCTCTCTTCAAAAAGTGATGGCAGAAATGTATTTATTATACACAGTAGGATATGTATTGATTAAACATTTGGCTTTTTAGGAAGCAGACCAGTTAATTCTAAACAGCAGTAACATAAAAACCTGCAGCTTACCAAAAAGCGACATTCAGGGACTGTAATGATCAAAGATTAAAGATAACGGAGGGAATTTGGAGGCATGAAATTGCAACCATATTTAAAACGGCTATTGCTGCTCTGGCATTTAGAAGAGGCACTCATATAAACCATGGCAGAAATGAGTAAGGGGGGGGGAAAAAAATAAAAGGCATAATGGGAACCAAGTGATTTCACGAGACAAGGGAAAGGTCACTTCTCTTCCCAATGTTGCTCCACCCTTTCTATACCAAATAGCTCATCAAAGGGTAGATGGATTTCTGGCTAATGGTTGAAAGGGAAGAGGGCTCTCACAAGGACCAACTTTGCATCCTCAGTGGTGTCCAACCAGGAACCCCAGCTTTTAACTATGCTCTCATCCAAAGCTTTGCTTAACAGGATACTGGGAGTTATGCAGATATAGATGGAATTTATTTAATAATAAATAACAACAATAACAGGCATTGCACTAAACTGATCACAAAACACCTCTGCTTTCGCTACAAGAGAGTACATGATGGGTTGGAGATGGCAGCAAAAGATGCTGCAGGTCCCAGGAAAGGAGAAGGCAAAAACCTATTTTGCTGACCAACAGCCCCAAAACAGAAGAGCTGCTGAAGTGGCTAGCCCCTCTTCTAGGGCCAAATAGGACTGGCATCAGAAGGTCCTCATGCCAACTGCCGCATACAGTATTGTCGACCCATTGTAAAGGATTCTGCTGTTTCCACAGATTTTTTTAAGCCAAAAATAATTTTAAAAGCTACCAAATAAAATAAAATCAAAACAAAATTTATTTGGAGATTAAAGATTTCGTTCAATTTCCCAAGTTAATTGAAAAAAGCATTTACTGATGGCAGAGATACAGGGCCAGAAACCTGGTTTGAGGTTGTTATCCCTTTGGTCCAAGGGGATGCCACCAGCAGCAGGTTTAGACTGAGCTTTGATTCATGGACTCTCCTACAACATGATAAGCAGTATGTTGTTCCCTGTGTGTCTGCGGAGATGTAGGTGTCCAACACATATCGCTATCATAATTCTGGATTCTCCATAGTTATTAATTTGGTGGCTGAATTTCCACGTACTTCAGTTACACATATTTCTCACGGCATTTCATTCTATTATCCTAGGAGCAACAATGACCTGGAAGCTCTCTTTATATTCCTTGGGATATATTTCTTTCTTACATCTTTCAAGAGCATAACCAAAAAGGAAACAAATGCCACACGCTGCTAAATTAACAGAAAAAGAAATGCTGTCACTACTGAGAAGGTCCGAGTCTGATATCACGGTATTCTACACTCAAAAACTGTTTTTGACTTTGGGAAAAAGACTTCTTTTTAAGAGCTGGAGCTGAATCAAACATTTTGGGTGTGTCTGCAGGTGTGTTCGCACAGTAACTTTCAAATCAGCAACAAATAACTTCCATCTCTGTCTTTGGAAATTGGGGTTGTATGTTGCTTGAGGAACTTTTTAAAATGGTATCGTTATTGTCGTTGCTGCTGTTTTAAAATTGAGCAGGGCAGAAAGTAATGCAGTGCAAATACAGTTTTACAGTCAGCTTCATTTGGCGTCTTTAATTCTAAGTGTTTGACTTGTCTGGTAAAAGATGTGCAATTATAACTCAGCCTAAGACTAAACATTCATACAGATAGACTAGCTTTTGACCTTCTTCAGAGGAAAAAAAAAAAGCAGAAAAGAACAACTGACTACAAAATGGCACTTCTCCATTGCATTTTCTTTTGGATTAAAAGAAAAAAACCCTGCAAAAAAGTAAAAGGAAAATCTCTCTTACAGTTTTGGCAACGCACTAAGCCAGCGCAGTTCAACAAAAGGTGCAGGGCAATTCTAACACCCATGACCGCATGGAGATTAGATCGGTGGCGTGTCTCAACTGTGCCCAGAAGAAAACATCCAAAATAGCTTTTAATACTCTACATTTTCATTGTATGCTGTTCTTGGGCCAGAGTTCAGATTCTGTTCAACGTCTCCTTCAATCTTGAGAGACAGCCAGTCATATTCGTTTCATTTTTGGATCTATTTTTTCCTCTGTTCTGCGTACTTTTCCCCAGTCTCTGCTGTTCTCAAAGACTGCTTAAGTGTTTTCTCCAGCTGTGGAAAAGGACAGCAAATGTTGCAGCCAGGCTGGGGTCCTAGGATGAACTTAAGTGTCTGAAAGATCAAGATTTCTTCTATCACCCAAACACCTTTTGCTACATACCTGATCTCACATGGATTTCACTCAATGAATGTTCCTGATAGTTGTATCTAAAATAGGCTATCTTTCCCATGAAAGTTTATCTACTTATGGGAAAAGGGAAGAAAAGGAATGATCAAATTAAATGTGAAAATATCTGCAGGTGAGGTCCTTAAAGAGACATGATCAATATTATTCCTTTATTGATGATGGTTTACATCCTCATGGAATACTAATGCCTGCATTCTCTGAAAACTTCTTCATAGCATACAACATACCGGGGCTCAATCACCAACTAAGACTGCCCATAACCATGTCATTAACACGAGGACAGTGGTGCCTACTCCACCAACACGCTTCATTTTGCAGGGTCACCATCAGAAAACCTCTGAAATAAAGTCAAGATTTTCATCCCATGGGAATTGCTGATATTTGGGGTATTTCCCTGTTCTGAATCAACTCAGACAAAATATCAGTATCAATATTTTCACAGAACAACTCATATATTCTATATCACAGTCCCTTCTCCATGCAGGACCATGAAAGGAAATGAACAGCTGGAAGAAAAGCTAAAATTCTTTGTGCATTAAGTATTTGGACCTACAGAGGCACTTCAGACAGAGGCAACTTCTGGCAGTGCTTTAGCTGAAGAAAGCGTTCAGGTACATGAGACCACCGTACAGTCAAGGCCCAAAGTGCACCGGGTTCCTCTCAAATGAATGAATATATTTGCTAAACTCTTCCCACAGATGTCCCCAGTAAAACAAATGTGACTAAACACAGTATTGATGTAGCCAGCCAATGCTAAATCTATTAAGCAACAACCTTCTGACCGCTTGGGAATTTTAATGAAATAGCAAAAGCCGAGATTGATATGACACAAAACACGGAGAAGACAGGACCCTTACGCAGCAAAGGGTGTTTTTTCATTGCTCTTGTCTCAAAGAAATATGGTTTAGTGGCTTTTTTTTTTACATTGATTTTAAGAAAACTTCATTCTGTATCCAGCTTTGATGCAGATTCAATGTCATATATTGATGACCTGACAGAAGAACACTGGGTTAAACCTCTGTACATCAACACCCGTGACGTGTGGAAAGGGTAATGGCTACTCTCCAAGGGTAATTCATCTAAAGCATTTGGGACCTCTGATATTCCTGCTTGAGCTCATTGCTGATGCACAATGTCATACCGTTTGCCCTGAATAACATAAAGCTGTCCTGTAATAGACACACACCTGCCCTTATCAAAGGACATATTTCCCCAGGAAAAGATGAAAGCAAGCCACATATTTGATCCACCTGAACATGAATAAAGAGTTTTTTGTTTCTCCCCAGTCTTGCAATATACATTGATTCGATTTTGTACCAAATGCCTATTCATTCATCCCAAAACCCTTTGCCCCAAACATTTCACTTTTAACAACCTTCTGTGGGATCCAAAGTAGAATAGAAATTTGGGTTCTTGGCAGAGGATTGATATCCAAAGACCAAATAGATACTGAGCTGATGGTCTGAAAGAAAGCAAGCAGCCGCATGAGGGCTTCCAGGCAGTCTGAGGAGGAGCTGAAAAACCTGGGAGCACAAGGTGGTACTCGAGAAAAACATTCCTGTTGATGCCATTTCAGTGAGTAGTGCATGGTTGGGGTAGCATTTAGTTTCAGAAACAAGCTGTCATTTTTTCTGGAAGATGTGTGTGGTTTCTTCCCCCATTCCAAAATTTCTGGTTCACGATAGGGATAAAAGCCAGAACAGACTACCCACTTCACAGCTGCCTCTGTCACATAAATGCGGCATTTTCACTTTTGTCAAACTAAAGTTTTCTCCTGGAAAAGGCTGTGCACTTATGGTCAAGTGCTAAGCAATGACAATCGTCAGGTGTCTGCTCTCTGAATCCAGGCCATGTTTTAGATAATTAAGCTTGTGTAAGGCATACTAGTTGTTTTCACTGTATCGTTGGCTACAGACCTTGCTTGGCACTTGAAAATATTTCATAGACCTCTTCCTGTTTGCTGCAAAAAAGGGTGCAGCTGAAGTCTACTCTGAGCTGATAATTCAACAGATAAAAACCATTCCGTTCTGCAATACAGCTCTTCACTCAAAGGTCTTTCTACACGAGGATATTTGATATACTCTGCTTTCAAATTCATTGAAGAACACTATATGCTTCCATGTCTCTAATAACTTGCAGCCTTCTAGGAGACAGGAGTCTCTTGAAGCAAAACAAAAAAGACAGACCCTCACAAAGAGAAACACGGATGCTTTTACTAAGATCTAGGGCACAAAAGAACAGAGATGGAAAGGACTTCTTTGATAATTAGTTCAAGTGCCCCAAAACCTACAAAACTTCTAAACCTATCGAACTCCTTTCTTGAAGCAATGAAGTTTTTGCCCTACTTCTCCATTCCCCAGGATCTTCTGCAGTTTCTAGCACAAAAGCCTGCTCTGTTCAGCAGTGTAGATGGTCTTCCCTTTCATTCCCCAGGCTGAGAAAGCAATGTCCCTCCCAGCCCAAAGGTTAGGCAAGCCAGACTCTGTAAGTCACCTCTGGCAAGAGGGTGATCCATTTTGCTAAATATCCTGGTAGCACTAATCCATGTCTTTTCCAGTTTAAATTCTGCTTCTGTGGATGTGGCTGACCAGAGCTGTATTTGAGATGAGGTCTCTTATACATGCTGTAGATGAGGACAGTGGTTTGACGTAAAGAAGGGCAGGAGAAGAAAAAAAAAAAAAACCAGTAAGTTAACATGGAGAAGCTAAAGATAAAATGCAGGCAAATAACTACTACTCTCCCTCTGCCTCCCACTCTACCTACAAATAGAGAAAATTCCAAATTCCGTGTAATGCTATCACAATCAATGTCTCTACAGTGCATTAATAGAGCTGTATGAGAAACAAAGCAAATTGTGCACTCATCCAATATTGCTTCATCATGCCTATCAAAAGAACATGAAGTTTTCAGCTTTATTCATCATTTGACACTAAAACTCTTCTCATGCTTTTTTATGTTTCTTATTTGGTGTCTGCAATAAGCCTAGATGATGAATGGAAAGCATAGCAATTTCACTATCTCTGAATTTTTGTGCAGCAATGTTATTTGTGTTAATGTGACGATGAAGGTGTATGCATGTTTGCAAAACGCCAGTGTAAGTCTCCTGAACACATTTAAACCAAAATTCACTGTCAAATTAATTAAACATTTCATATCTCTCCAACATGTACTTTATTCAAGGCAATTTTTCATTAAGAAAAGAATCTAGTCATCCATGAACAATTCCTGAAGTAAACTTACTTCATGAGCTGACAGCTCACAAGTCAAACTTGAACATTTTTAACAGGAAAAAAAAAAGGCAAATGCACTTCTATGTTCAAAAGGGAGTTTAATGCAAGGCAAATATTAGGCCTGATTACGTAGAGAAATTAAACCTATATGATTTGTGAGGCTTCCTTGAGTCCTTAACTATTGCTCTCTTTCAGCATATTTAACTAAATGGTTCAAAGGATACATTCAAATATATAGTCAAAATGACAACAGATATCGAAATTCCCATTTCAAGAAAGAGAGCTTAGAAAATTGCAGTTCTGTGAGCAGACTAAGTTAATAGGTGCAAAATGGTTTTTAATCAGAAGCAGAGACGAATATATTTACACTAGATTTAACTGAAATAGGAGGCAGAGAAGTTTGGATGGGAAGGAAGAAGATCAGTTGGCAAGGGAAAGCATAAACAATTTTTATTTCATTTTTTTTGTCTCAAACCTTGGACAAAAAAACCTATGCTGAATAGTTTGGACATTACCACACACATGCACTCCCCTCCTCTGCCTTGTTACATGCTTCCTAAGGGATACTTGACAAATGCCTATAAAATCAACAGAAAATCCAAATCTAACATCTTCTTACTGTGAGCCCACACAGCCTGCTGCCGATCATGCAGACCATTTGGCAAGCACCGGATCTGCAGGAGAGCAGCTGCTCCAGCCACTCTCTTCCAGTAACATCAGAGATACGAGGACTTGGGGAAAAATTAACAAAGTGATCAAAAATGGAATAAAAGATGTTAAGAGGTTTTTTCCTCCCTGTAAACATCAAATCATCCTCCATGCCCAACTGACTCTAATATTATTCTAAAACTGGAGATATTGACAACTCATGTCACTAAAATAGACAATCTAAAATACCCTCAGCCTCAAAAAGAACTTGCAGTCCGAGCCACGGAGGGAAGAGGATTGCAAAGCATACCACAGTGTCAGGGGTACCAAAAGCCCAGTATTTACTCCTTAGCTTCTATAGTTTATGCTCATCTTATCCCCAAATTGCAAGCATTCCCCTGTTCTGGACTCCAGTATAACTTGGAAAGAGCACACTGGATGAAAACAAACACACTTCCGTGAACAGATTCAGAAGCCACATTGCTTTTAATTCACACACGCAAGAAATACACTTATTTAGACAAAATAACAACAAAACTGGAGCACATTGGCCTATTTCTTTACCACTATAAAGCATTCCTTAGGTTGGGATCATATCCTCTAAGCCAGTTCAAGAGTTTTCTGGGCAGTTCATTATTTATTTGGGAACATCATATATTTGCAGCTCCCCTTTCTGAATTTGATTGGTCTCTTATCTAAACTACACTGATTCTGTGAGGCTTATATGGCCCGCTTTGATCAGCTGGGACCTTTGCTTTCCCTCTAGAAACCTCCCATTTCCCCAGTCTCTGCTCAGAGTCCCACTAACCCGTTATTGCAATGCTGCCTTTCCTGCATTCCTTTACCTCTAAAACTCAAAGACAAACTCTTGCCTTAACCATGAAAGATGTGTGCCAGCCTTTCTGCAGAGGTGAATGTGCTTTCACAGAGATGTTTCAAAACAATACTGCAATTTTGTACTCTATAATTTCAATCAGGATTCACCGTCTGCCTATTCGAGATTGCTATTACCCACAGCATCACACTGTGCATTACTGAAAGCATCTCACTACTGCATGTATCACTTGGATCATGATATATATTGCAAGCATGAATGTTTGTACATGGCTCAACACAGTATTCACTGCATAAATACCTGTCACACCCTCTCCTCTGCGTAGGGAACCTACTGCAAAACATCCATGCCTCGAAACTCAAAGAAACCCCCATGCTTACAGTTAAACATGTTTACACAACTTGACTGAAATGAGCACAAGAGTCCCATGATGTTTCAAGCCTCATCTACTAATTGATTTAATAAAAATCACAGCCTAGAAGGTTCTTCCCAAACGTTACAGCAAAAGTTACCAGAATCTTCTCTGATACTGCACATACACATGGAGCTGTTTACATCCTCTTGATCTCCTTTACTCACTCTATTATTACCAGTCTTGTTCCAAAATTAAATCGGTCTTACCAAACACAAAGCTGCTTTTCCCCCATTTCTCTATTAATGTTTTTTAACGAACCTTTTATGTGTTCCCCTCTCTTTAGCTTGGTCTTTTTTGGCCATTTCTGAAAAAAGCTTCAACTCTCCTTAATCTCCAGAGCAACCGCTTTCCCCTGAGCTCGCTTTGTTTCCAGTTTTGATTTTATACTCCCATGGTAGCGCTCACTCTTCACATATTTGTTTACAGAACAAAAACCACCAGTCTTTAAAAGCACTATGGAGTAGAAAACACCCCTTTTAGGTAATTTTATTCAGCTGTGCCAATAACAACAGCTATCTCTAGTCAATCCTACTGTGATGTGCAATTACTTTCTTGGAGTAAAAAGAAGCAAGACAGAACAAAGACATGCTTAAAATGTTGCCTTCAGATGATGATGTGGAAACATACAGAACAACTCAATTATGTTTTCAGACCTACATGGCATATAGTACTGATGAAGTACAGACACTTCTGCAATTTTCTTTCCAATCAACCAAATTTGTACTAAAATGGGTTGGAAATGCTCGTTACACTAAGGAGAACTATAAACACTGCCAACTAAGGCATATATAGATCACAAAACCTGTTTATCTCTAAATCTGTGTTGCTTTGTACTACAGGAAAAAGAAATGCAACTTGTTCCCAGCAAAACCAGCAATGTTTGAATGATACACGTGGCAAAGGTAACTTACAGACAGCAAAGGGATGGCAACTTTTCCAAGAAAATCAGGGGGTTTATCTCCATCTTCATCGAACACTGTCACTTCCAGAACATCATGAATATCTTTAATAGGGCTGGAATGAAAAGTGCAGACACATTAGAAAATAATATTTGATACACATGCACACAGTCTCCTCCACAAAGATCTGAGAGTATTGTTTTACTAATTAAGTTTGTCTTACCTTGGAGTATAAAACTAGCATTTAATTAAATTCCCCCCAAAATGAATCAAATGATGGCTATTCCCCAAGCATTCCCCTCATGTTTCAGTCCCACAACTAGGCAAAAAGAATAACTACCAGACAGTGACATTTTTCGTGCATTGATGATTCCAACAGTGTACAACTCAGCTCTCCAGCAGAAGCAGCTGGTGACTGGGAGAAGTCAAGGGCTGAATTCAGAACATTAAAGAAATAATCCAGGAAACAAAACTCATGTAACTTCATTTGACTTGAACAATTATTGAACAATTAACGCCCTTTCAAAGTTCTAACAAAAACAATTACTTTAAAAAAAACCCCAAACCCAGAACTTATCAACACAAGTTGAAGGCCCAATGTACAATATTTTTGTTCCATTCAGTGCAAACGCTCTACTGATGTGGCAGCAGGCACTCAACCCTAAGTATTTATCAGATCATTAATAAATCAGAGTCTCAGTTAAGAAAACTTATATCTGTGTGCCTGCCAAAACATGGGTAAGCGGAGATCACTTAGGAGTTGCATTAATTATCTCCTCTTTTCCTTTAAGGAAAATGTATGTGGTATAGCATGTGCTTGTTATTTAACTAAGTACAGCTATTCTGCCCAAAAAGTTTTTTCAGAGCAGTCCTGCTCCCGGAACCTCTGCCTGCAACACAGTGGAGTTGATCCTCATGAAGCAGAATGTGAACCTAAAAGCCCACCCGGTTCTCTCTCCAGCTAGCAGCCATAGCATGTTCTGTGATGTCACCCAGTGGCAGCCAAACCACCGTAAAATGGCTGTTTTCAAGACATAAAGTACATTGAAAACTGCCACTTCTGCAACCATACTTCCATATTCCTCTCCAAGCCGTTACCATTTTCCGTATGATATAACTACCAGTGGTATAAAATCTTAAAACTCCACAGTGACACATGCAGATAAGTGTGTCACAGAAAATCTGAATATGATGGGAAGGGCTCTCTGGTGGTATTGAATGTTCCAGCTGAAATGAATTCATCCACTCTGCTCCAAAATAAATCTAAATCATCAATAGCTTTTAAAGTGCTTAATTGACATTTTTTAAAATGGCCAAAAATCTTAAAGAGAGATGTGAGAGCCTGACTGGCTCTGTAGATTTGATGCTTGGTCTAGCCATACAACAGCAATAAGAAAGTGAGAGAGAGTGCGCAGCTGACATTTGAGACCCACAGAAGTACAGACACAAACTTTTTTTAAATAAAATAACTTGGGATTCTTATTAGATTTATTTTGTTGGCTGAACATCCGACAAGACTCATCTGTTGGCACAATTTCAGAATAAACAGTGATAAGTGGAAGCTTCTTGAGAACAAAGTGAGAGAAAGGACTCCAAGAGACCTGCATTCAGCCACAGCCATGAATTAAAGAGAAATCCGACAAGGTACTTCTGTCAAAGAGATCAGATACTTTTTATTGTGTTCGCATTGAGCCCAGTATTTTTGAATGTTGCTTTTGCAATAAGTCCGTAATTCTCAAACTGTTCTTCAAGTGGACAGGTGCAAATGTCATAAATGGTCCACTGCCAGCCCTCGTGGTTGCCTTCCTTGCCATGGACCTCTACAGTCTTGGAGACATTTATGTCAGTTATTCACAAAAATCTGTGTTAGCATAAAGCGAGATTAAAAAAATTGTGCTGCCTAAAAGTGATACCTAAATTATCATTTTTGTTATTAATAAAGTCACTTAAAAAAGAATACTCTGATTTTCATACAAATCTAAGCTTCTAATTTGGGGTAAGCTATGTTTGTCTAGTTTAAATTCAGAAGCTACACCACGAACAACATGAGCTCTAATTTTCTGCTTGCCTACAAATTAAACAAGGATTCTACCGTGGTTCAATGAAACATTTTATTTTAAATTACGGAAAATGTAGGCGTGAGTATCTGGTCTCTACTTTCTGTTATATTATCTCTTGGATCCAGCTATGACTCCATTATGTCTAGTCATGATTCTTCCTATAAATATCACAGTAATTTTTCTTTTAATGACTTCTATTAATAAACTCCAGGCAAGAACTAGTAAAAGGCAAAAGGCTTTAATTGAGTTATATTTGATATTTCTCCAACATCCTCTCTGACTGAAAAAATGACTTATCTTAAACTTGACCTTTGTATTTTCCCAAAGTTGATAGTTTTTTATAGTTAAGCTGCTAACTGGTGTTTCAGCATGTTTTCAAAAGCAATCCACTTACAATGTGAACACTTTGTTCCACTCTGGATTGAGGTTCTTGTAAACAGTGTGTGTTTGAAGACTGTCATTTCCCAGCTCTAACACACAGAAAGGATCACTTTTACCTAGGGAAAG